TTGGGAACTCTTTTAATTATTCAGATACATCTCAAGGGGACGCCTTTGGGACATAATCATTTACATAGAACCTAGGGACCTTTTATCCAGGAAAATAAAAATTATTTTTATTATTAATCTTTGACCATAAGTCAGCAAGTAGGCTGTGTGTTGAGCTATAAATAACCTATTAATTGGGAAACTCAGATTGCACACTCGCAATATTAGAAAAAAAAATTTGATCCAATTATGACAGGGAGTAAAGACTAGTGCTGTAATCCAAAAAAAGGAAAAAGTATGGTTGCAAAAGTGGTTGCAAAGGTAATTGCAACCACTTTTATATGCCATAAATACAATTACTACCATCATCATAATTTACAGCGCTAGTCTTTAACAGGGAGACAACCTGGCTTTTCTGTCTATTCATTATTTAAAAATACAAAAAGGCACTTATTGGTAATTGAGATTAAATCTAAGAATGAAGATTGTAATAGTGATCTGGTGAAATTAGCAAATGAGATGAAGGATATCATAGATAAATGTATAGATGATAATATAAATGATGAAGAATTGGTAATTTTGGTGTTCATATAGAAGGCAAGCAATATATCATGCATCTTTGGATAAATAAATGCTTATTAATGAATACAACCTAACCTGTGCTTTTCTTGTCCACCTAGGTAATCAATGTAGTGTTTATGCAATGGATTTAAAATATGACGGTATTTATTATTATATACTGATTTTGTTGGATAAGTTTTTTTTATTACGAAATTGTTATGATCTTGGTGTAATCCCAGCATCAATTGAAGCATTAACAGTAGTCAAAGTCAGTATAATGCAGTATAATTAAAATGACAATATTACATTCTATATTAAATAACCTAATCTTCATTTTTTATTATTTTTTATGATAGTATATTGTCATCAAATCTGCAAACATAATTCTTAATAACTTAAGAAATCCAACAAATGGAATTTCCATAAGTAGAAAAAAAAAGACAAGGGAATCATTCCACACTCCAATGAAAATACCTATCAATTAAATAATTTTATGAATTTGATAGTTTGCTTCAAATTGTACATGTATGCATTTGATTTATGACATTGTTTCATCTTTATTATCAAAGGGTATCAGATATTTAATGAGTAAAATAAAAAAATGGAGTTTTATATCATTGCTATGTGTTTGGCATTAGGGATGTGACAGAAATCAGGTGATTTATGTTTAAGGATAGGAAAACAAATTTACTTGTTATTGAAGAACTACACTTTCACAATATAAATTTAAAGTTTATTAGGGAGCAAGAGTTACAGAGGAAACATTCAACCTTAATAGGCAACAAAGCAAGTGTGTTTAAATATTGAGATGAACTTTTTAGCTCAAATCTTTCATGAAGAATATAAATATTAATAGTAATAGTAATAGTAATAATAATCTTGAACCCTAAAAATACTTGATAATACCAATGTTCACTTTGTCTGGTTTTATTGCAGCGTGCCCCATATCCCATTTGTTATTCTAAGTGATATAGAACTAACCCCATATAAAAATAATAATATGAAATTAATTTATATCAGATCTACAGTCTACTCTCTCTATAATGACCCTCTCTATAATGACCACTAAGTAAAATTTCTCTATAAAGAACTTCCCTTTTGTCCCTGTTTCAATTTTTTATAATTAATTTCTCTCTCTATAATGACATCTTAATAAACTCTCTCTATAATGACCAAAAGCAGAGAAATTACATATATGGACAGAGGGTTCGTTATAGAGAGAGTGAACTGTATTATGAATAATAATACCTGACGAAATGATTGACATTTAGTCAACTGATGAAATGTTACATGACGAAATGTAATTTACCGCGAAGAGCATATTGACGAAAAGGAAAAAGAGGAAAAGTTGACGAAAAGAAAAAATTGGCAAGAGAGAAAAAATAACCATTTTCATAAAGAAATTTTTGTAATAATCTGCAATAATAATTTAAAATTTAAAATATAAAGAGAAAATTTAATAATTTTTTTATTTTTTTACTCTTTTGTCCGAGTCAAATTTGGATGAGCTACGTAAATTATGTTTCTTCTAGTTTGTATTTTTTCTAACTAATTTTTGAGAATTATTATCATCATCATCATTTTCATTTGTATTATTTCCAGAATTGTTATCAATATCATAACATCTCGTTCTAAATAATTATTTCTATCAGTTTCCTTAACTTCGCAATGATCATGGAAATAACTATTTTCTGAATTATGTTCACTTTCAAATTCATCTTCTTCAACAAAGGTATCTTTTACTAAATCTATTGGATCATAATTATTATCAGAAAATTCGTAAATTGATTCATCTTGATTAGTTTCAACTGAAGATTCAGCATTACTATCACAAAATACTTCATTATTTAAATCCATGATTTCACATATATCCAGAAATTGGTTCTGTATATTATTTAATATCTCTTAATCTTCACCAGTAAAATCATTCACTGTATCATCATCATCATCACTATCATCAGAAATAAGTCCTGTATCATTTATTAATTTTTTAAGCTCTTCTTCTGATAATTTCTGCCCATAATATTGAATTTCTTTTTTAGTTTGTGCAAGGTAATAACTATAGATTTTTGACATATCTTCTACTTTTTCTAAATTGAAATTATGCCTTCTTGTACTATATAACCAACATAAATTTGAAAAATTTCGCTCGCAGCCAGCACTATGTGGAACAACAGAAAAAAGTTTTATTTCAAGTTCTTGTAATTATTATAATTTTTAGAATTGTTTATAATATCTCCTTTTCGTCACATTTCCCCTTTTCGTCACATTTTCCTCTTTTCGTCACATTTCGTCAATTTACCACATTTTATCATTTCACCAAATGTGACGAAATTAACAATGATTTGACGAAATAATTTCCCGCCTACAAAAACATTTCGTTAGGTATCATTAAAACTGACACATACAATGAACGAAGTTGTCAGAAACAATAAAGGTTATACGGATGCAGTAGAAAAATCACGCAACATTGAAAATGATGATGATAATAATGAGTGGTAAACGACGACGGTGATGGGGGTTGTGACACTGAATAATTTTTATTATTCTTTGTATTTTTTTTTTTTTCGCAATAAAAATTAAGTAGATCAAATTTTTTTTCAGAAGCAAAAGCAAAAATTCCTTCCCAAAAAATTAGGTTTAAAAAATATTTGCCGTACGACACAATTTTTTCTAAATATGGTGAAAACGTTGATCGCGCCAAAAACCGAAAAGACCAGGCGCGGCTAGACGCAATCCATAAATAGTATATATACATTAAAATAAGAAGTTTCTAATTTTGTACAATAATCTTTTTTTATATTCTAAAATTGGCTAAATTTATACAATAAATAAAAAAACTCCGATCTCGATTTTATATTTAACAGTTTTTTGGATATATAGTTCCTGTTCTTATTTTTCTTTTTATGATTATAAAGTTATAAATGATAAATATAAATTATTAAATTATATGATCCCTCTGTTTGGGACACGACTCGATTTATAGTTTGACATTGAAGAATCAAGTTGGCGAGGAGTTTATTGAAATTGTTGTATTCAGATTCTATACGTTTTTCAAAAAGTCTACAACAAAAAAAAGGTAGTAGTGGCGAATAGACACTTGCTAACGATAAACTAGTGCCATTTTTATTGAATTATGACAAAAGGATCCTTTTCCAATTGTATGAACAATCCGTGGTAAAACTGATATTCCTTAACCCCTTAATGTATCATTACTATTATTATTTGTTTATAATAAAAAATGGGTCAATGTTCATTTTTCCATATTTTGATGATATCATTTAGTATTAATTAATAAATTAAAATCATTATTTGCATACACATATAAACTCGATAAGTCGGATGCAGCAATCAAATTGTTTAAAGTACTTTATAATATAAATAAATGTTCGATTTATCGAGTTTAGATGGTATTTATATAAACGGTCTATTTTTTTTTCTCTCAATTGAGAGAAAAAAAATGAATGAAGAAATAAAAAAATTAATATTTATAAATACAAAATTCCCATTTTCGCTCATTTTAACTGATAAATCATGGTATGAAATATCAAAAGATCACAAAGTAAGAGCAAACTGGATCATTAAAAAACATGGCAAAGCACATTCGTTTTTTTACGCGATTCGCTATAATAACTTTATATCATTAGAATTAGTTGATCTTCTTATCAAAGAAAACGTGAATTTATCCAGATATCTCGTGAAACGATTATTATTACAAATCGGAAAAACCGACGATAGTTCAATTGAATTAAAAATACAAAATAACATCAACGTCAACTATAATAATAATAACAACATGGATCAAGAAATATTTAAAGCTTCTCGAAATATTATAGAAATCGTCGGACCTCGAATATTTCAGTAATGGTGTTTGCAGCTTTGTTAAAAGAGGTCATGGCGAAGGTCTTCACTTGAAAGGGAATGACATTGAAATGTTTTATTTTTTGACAGGAGGTTCATTAGCCATAGGCTTGGCTCCAAAAAATTAATAGAAAAATCTTGAAAAAATAAAGGATCTTATATTAAATAAAAAATTCATATCAATAATTCCATTTGATTACCAAATAGAAATGCAAATAATTATTGTAAAAAGTATCCAGCCAAGGACGGATTTAAAAACAACAAGCAATTTGAACATAATTGCGAGAGCAATATTAATTTATCCTGAACTAGTAGAATTCTGGAAACAAATTGGCCACCATAATATATGTAAAGATGTCAATAAATTAGTGTTACAGGGTTCTTTGCTAATTATATTCTACCCAAATTATAAAAATGAAGTTGTAATTATCCAACTACAATTGATTTCATTGAATGCATATAACAATTGGTCAAAGTTGGATTCAATTTGACAAAATCTGTCATGACTGATATTTTAACAACTACAATTAGCTGCAATTCAATTTTAATGTGCTGCAATTAGTTGCAATTAATCGAGGAACCATATTTAGCAGAAACTGATAATATCAACAAACCTAAATAAAAAAAAAAGAAAACTGGGATATTTGGCACAACGTGGAACAGAAAATGGAAAGATTTGGTTAGGGAACTTGAAGAAAGAAAAGATATTATACTACAATTATTGTTATTTTTAATGGAATGTCCTTTTAATAAGTCAATATAATTTAGATATTTCTTGATCCATGTTATTATTATTACTGTTGTTTTTGTTGTTTTTGTTTTTGTTGTTGTTGACATTGATGTCATTTTGTATTTTTAGTTCAATTAGACTATCATCTGTTTTTCCGAATTGTAATAATAATCTTTGCACAAGATATCTAGATAAAAGTCACGTTTTCTTTGATAAGAAGTTCAACTAATTCTAATGATATAAAGTTATGAGCAATGTGTTTTTCCGTAGTTTTTAATGATCCAATTTGCTCTTACTTTGGATCTTTGATAGTTTATACCATGCTTTTATCAGTTAAAATGTAAATTTTGTATTATTATATATATTATTTCTTTTTTCTTTCTCTCAAAACGGACATTATTTACACATGATTACATATATATAACAAATAAATGAAAAAGTA